AGTGAAGATGGCTCTTTCAAAAAACGTATCAAAATTTGATCTGCGATATATAGGGGGCAAAAAAAATCGTGCGAAACCTGATAATTTAACCCATTATCGGCCAAAGGTGCGTAAGCACACCCTTTTATTTTAATTTTTTTTTAGATCATCCGTAAAATTCTATGCTTTCCTACCTACAGAATCTTATATCAACGATCCAGAGAGTGTACTAGTATTTTTATTTAATTAAAAATAATATTGTTTTGATATTATTTTTTTAAAGAAAATACGATATTTAAAACTTTAGATTTTCAAACAAATATTGTTCTAAGTTAGTAAAAATGAGCAGGCTATTATTTTGAGCCAGGCTTAAATAAAAGATTTTTTTACATATTTTTCAAAACGATGGTCATAATGATACATATATGTAGTGGATGCGTGTGCGCACCTTTGGCCGATAACGATTGACATATTATTTATTCACTCCTATGCAAGTCTGGACAAATCTTGGCATATAAAATACAGGACTTGTCAGAACATATATCAGTTCATTATTAGCAGAGTGTACTTCTTGGTTTTCCTTTGTGTAAAAAAAGTGAAGTTTTGTATAAAATATTGTTTGAACTAAAGTTTTTTGTAATGCACAATAGTTATTTTTTTGGATACATCTAGTGCTAATATTAGGTAAGAGATTTTTGAGTTGTATATAAGCTATAGAGGTATAATTTTGTTTATATTATTGCAGTCATTTGTTAAAATAGAAAATGAAAAGGGCACTAACCACTAAAGAGTTACTTGCTTTGTTAGAAGAGGATTCAGATTGTGAAAATGCTGAATTGGTTGATGTTTTTTATGTGCCGCCAGAAACAGATGAAATTACAGATGAGGAAAACTTTGATGAAAATATTATTGGAGAAGAGGGATTGCAGACGGATAATGCAGGAACGTATCAAATACAACCAAGTATAGATAGTCATGATGATTTGGAAGATAACGTTTTTAGTTTTTTATGTGAAAATGTTCAAAGTAAGCTGGATGCAAATGCACTTTGTACTGTGCACACAACGAAATCTCAGCTAAAATTTCTTTCGGATTTAGCACTCTCTTTAGATACAGAAAACAGCGATGTTGCTTCAAATACCGTAGTATTCAACTGAACCTATGGAACACCCTCTCAATCCGCTCTACCAGGTGAAGTCAAATTTGACAATATCGGGCATATTATATTATAGAGAGGTTAATAGTGCAAGAAAAAAGGGTCGATTTCGCAAAAATAATACTATTTATTTGTGTAAAGTGCATTTGCATCCGGCTTACTTTGAAAATTTTCACGTAAAAAACTAATTTAGTTTTATTAATTTTAATAACTGTTTTCAGCCAAAGGTGCGTATACGCACCTACGTTTTTTTTTCAAAATACTGTTTATGATTTTTTTCAATAGTAAATTAGTCTTAATGTATGTGTTTTGAATATACTTTAATAAAAAAAATTATTAAATTATGTGTTTTTCTTGTTTTGGCCGGTAATGGGTTAAGGGGGTATCCTCGTATAGAATGCAAAAAATCAATGAGAATTTTTTTGAGAAAACTATAAGTACAATATTTTTATTTGAAACTGACACTAAATTATTTGTAGTTTAATAAAACATAAAAAAAATTCTATGATAAAATTTAAATTAATTGAAGGGCATTGAAGTGACGAAGTAGATACGTTTTTCTTTTCTCTTCATTTATGCCACGTTTCACAACCACTGTATCATTCTGAAACATACCAATCGAAGTTTTTTGTTATTACCTATACCTCGTCCATGAACCTAATTTAAAAGTATAAAAAAATTTAAAATTTAAAAAAGTGTTTCCATTGTTTTTGCAAAAAGTTATTAAATAATTATTTTTAACAAAATCCTTTAGGTTACTAGATTAGCTAATTAAATTTCCTTTAAAATGGTATTTTTGTCGATAGGTTGAAAATTCTTTGAGTAATCGCCGATATAAACTGCGAAAATTGAAAAATTCTCATTTCAAGAAAAATGAGTGAAGTTTGCGATAAACCAAAATCGCGATTTTTTTTTATACTCACGGCTATTTATCCATTTTTGTATTTGTTTTATTCCTGATTGTTATACTCGATTTGTGTAATAAAAAAAAATCGATTTTTCGTTCAATTTATACGAGGATACCACTTAATTAAAATTGCATATTTTCGTGCCCCCTATCATCCTTTTCAAGGAACGCACTTATTTCAGAAACACCCTGTATGTATAAAAAAGTGTAAGACATAGATTTAACTGATAGTTAAATTTACTCGGCATTTGAAAAGACCGGCGCTAAATTTGTTTCAGTAGCTTTTATGGTTATTACTGAACAGACCGTTTATTTAGCTTTGTAGTTTAATTTTGGTTAACAGTATTTATTCTGGTCCAAGATATCAATGTGACGGATCGTCAACTCTTTCATTATTTTCAATTATTTAATAATTACCAACGATAAATTAAATAAAACTATTACTTCATTTAGACACCGTTGAAAGAAATACATCATCATTTTTCTATTACAATAACTGGCGAAACTTTTCCATGAACTGGAAGAAAACTAATGCTGGCAAAAACCGGAAAAAATTTAAACTGGTTAACCGGGTTCCGCAAAAACCGATTTCAGATAAAACCGGTTAGCCAAATAGTGATTAAAACCGGAGATTCTAAAACCGGTTATTCGAATAACCGAATAACCGGTTACTCGAATAATGGTCAAAACCGGATATTTGAAATTCGGTGTTTTGAAAAACTGACGGGATATACGATGTCATTCACATATTCATCTATTTTAAATTTTAAAATTAAATCTAATGTTAAAAGTTAAAATGTTAAAACAGTTACACTTAATAAACTGTAGTTCTGCATCTTATTATTTATATAAATGGGTTTGGTCGTTTGGTGTATATATGGCTGTGGTGGATTTTTTTTATCAGTTTGTGTCTGTGTCAAAGGATAAAATAAAAAAATAAATTGTATTTCTCTTAATAGTTCAACCTAATTTTTGTAGTACTTATCCACTATGTATGTACTATGTAGCCAACGTCAATAACTACATAACACTAAGACTATATTACAATGCTATGTAGTTATTGGCTATAAAGAAAGAATACGATTATTTGGATGTTTGAATGAACAGATTATCGAAAAATCGGTTATTTGAATAATCGAATATTTGAAGAATCGAATAACCGGTTTTCGGGTTTCGTAAAAATCCGAATTATCCGAAACCGGTTAACCGACTATCCAAAAAACCGATTTCAGTTGCCAGCACTAAAGAAAACACTAACAACCATTTTTTTGTTTTATTTATTTAAATACAATATTTTCAAAACAAATACCAACTAGCAATTTGGTGTATTGTAGAAGCTGAAATAATTTTTACAAAACATTTTTTATAAAAAATAAGAGTGAAGATAAGAAGATTTCCAAAGCCCAATGTAGTTCTTTAGTTTACTTCACTATGACTTACGTATAATTAAAAAAAAATAGTAAACGATAATTATTATAAAATACTGTTATATGAAGGAATACTTAAAAGTTGCGGTCGGGTACAATATGCTCTGTGTAATAAATATTGTGTTGAAGAGAATTCTAATAACATTATTTTATTAATGATTAACTACTAAATCATCTAGTTCTTGGATGTCTATCTACCGACATAGTTTGAGTATGGGTGAGATATAACCTATAAAGTATGTTATATCATAATGGCCATTGTCAGTGTCTGTGGGTACAAAACAATGAATATGTGTCAGTAGATAATGAGTAGCATTGTTATAAAACATTTTAAAGGTTATATCTCACTCACACTTAAATTATTCAGGAATTATTTTGAGAACGTATACCTATATTCAAATTGTATATTACTTTGCGGTGCCATTTTTAATATTCTAAATGTTGATTTAAAGGACGTCACATCCTCAGACACATTTTCTTTTACCTAATTTTTAATGAAATATCCGCCTCCGAGGTATACACAGATGAACTTGAATTGCAACTAGGTGCTTACGATTTACAGAGAAAATATTATCTCGGCATATGCAACCTGAATCTGAATTACCTCTCACAAAGCGTGTGCTACATTCTTGCGTCAATAAAGGCTTCCTTCAGATGGATACTGGAGTTTCCAAGAGCATTTGTATTTTAAATTTGCACACGCGATGAACCGGTGCATATTAAATAAGTTACGTGAAGTTAATTTCATAAATTCCGTGCAAGATCACTCTGGATTTTTTTAACATTTATAGCTTGAAACTATTTGCATTTATGAATGCAGTAATTTTAAGTATACTTACGGAATTTCCGAGATACTGGCAACTGTATATCCGTCAGAGGAATTTTAATTTTAGTTAAGACCGACACTGAACTATACAACTTATAATGTTTTCAGTCTGAGTCTGAACAATTGAATATACTAAGTATTTTGTGGTGGCAGGAACATAGCAGCAAAACGTGATAATAAAGTGAGCGTTTGTAAAATCAGGATCTAAACTTACAAATCTAAAAATATTGTATAAAATTATAAGGCAACGAAATTGCATTTTTAATGTATCTTCCCTGAAAGTCGCATTTTTTTACTAACTAAAAAAATATTGGAAATTTTTGTCAACCTATCTTAAATATCCTAAAATGATATAGAAAGTATGATACACTGAAAATTGAATTACTAAAGACACTTGAAGCCAATCCAAGACGACTTTACATAAACTTACCTCTATTAGAGATGTTAATAAATTTTACATAATCGATATAATTATTCTCAAACGCTTTGTCCAATTCAAATCAACTTTGGTCAGTACTTTGTATGTAGTTATTTATTTATAAGTGTTTTAAGTAGCATTTAGACAATTAAAACACGAACATTATGGTAAGTTGTTATTATTATGTTATTTAATAAACAGTTCTATTCGAATTTGGTAAAAATGCAAGAAAGTATTTGTGTTTCTGTGGCTGTTTTTGAAGAAGCTCATGTAGCAATTTTCCATTTATTGCCAGCGAACTCCAGGGAACATTACGAAATTAACGAATAGAAGGAAAAACGGAGAGTAATGACAATAAATGAAGAAGTCATGCTATCGCATTTTTTAAATTTAAAGACAAAATATGCAATTTCGTCTATGTGGTCGAAGTATTCGATTTTGAAGGCTATTATAAAGGTCTACAAAAATATAGATATGGGATATTATAAGCTTACTGCTTATTTGAAGAGTGAATCGAGAGAATACTAAGCAAAAAAAGCTGCAGTATTGGAACAAGTACATATTGAAGAATTTATGACTGGGTCTTCCGTTAAGGAATATTTAATCATTAAGATAATATTCCTTTACATTTTACATGATGTTAGGTAAATAGTGAACTTAGAATTATTTTAGGTTGCACTAGTAATGGGGGTTTCTGGTGTCTGTCGATGTTGCGAATTGACAAATATGAAAAATAGTGACGTACAGGACGTTGGCAGTTACCTACTTACCTGACACCAAGACGGGCATTTCAAGAAAATTTACAATTACAGAAGAAGGATTTTGCGTGAATACTATTCAAATATGCATAAAATATATTTATCTGCGCCCAAAAATTACTACAAGCCACGTGACCGCCAAGGCAACCTTCTTCTTCTTCTTCTTTTTATTTTCTAGTGGTTGGTCTTGATAAGTCCCATGGCACCGCGGCCTAATTAGGCCTATTGTGCGTCCCACTACTAGTCCTATTCAGCAAGTAGTTTTGTCCTTTTGCCAAAGTCCAAAAGCTTCCTTGCTGATACTTCTCTCAGTTCCTTGGGTTCCAAAGAGAGTATCCTCTGGAGCGTCATTCTACTACGTGCAAGTCCCGGTCACTCGACTAGGATATTCAGAAAAGTTTGATCCGCCGAGTCACATTGTAACATCTTATATTATGTCACAATATTCCACACACATTTCCACAGGTGTAATTTAATGTAGCAGCCATATGAACGCCCAGTACATGTACTTTACTATGTTATGTACAGTTCTGA